ATGTACAAAAGACATTTTAAAAAAAACACAGTGAAAATTTAAAGTGTGGCAAAAGCAGCTTTTGGGTCTAAGAATCCGATATGAAAAACCTAAGCATGAAAACAAAATTCGGAATGGAAAACGCTAGTACAGCCACATTCCAATCACTGTTCCTCTTAAATAATAACCAACTTTCCCGGCGATCGTGCTGTTTTCATTTCTGATATATATTAAAAGGCACCATCTGAAATGCTGTAAATAGTAGTCACCATTAAAGACTCATTGGCTATTCCACAGGGAGCATAACAACATCTTCTCTGCTCTTCTAGCCCCAGGCACACACTGTGAGTACTGCAGGTATATGGCAGCGACTGATGAATTCTTAAAATGGTATCCCCTGAGGATTGCCCTTAAGGAAAACAAATTTGGGGGCCTAAACAGACTGCTTGCCACTATGAGTGTGATCCATTTAAGGACCAGTGGCTGGATTCTTTCACTTGTAACCAGGACACTCATCAAACCTGCCTCAGGAGCAAATAATGCATTCCAAGCTTTTCTTTTCCTAGTGACCATTATTGCACCAAACATAGTTCTAGATGTAACTGGGTCACATTCAAAGGAAAGCATCAGCACAAAAGTCGAGTTGCCAAATGCCCAGGGCACGGCATAGATGTGCAGGCTCTCTCATGAAATCGCACTCTTTCATCACCAGAGGAATTGTTCCTCCTTTGGCATGACACTCCTCTCATCCTCCTGCCCCCTCTCCTCAGAATCTTCAAAAGAAAATGAAGCAGTAATTGCTTTCTCCCCTAACATCAAGGGAAAAGAAAAAAGGGTAAAGCAGCTGCTCTTTTCCAGTTAGCATCCCAAGAAGAAACATGCTTTGAGCAGTCCTTTATTTACAAGAAATATAGAATTCTAAGGGCCGAGCAGTTCAGAAGAATAAGGCTCTCATTTGTTACCATCTACATTTTACCACATTGTACCTTGTTACAGCAGAAACACTTCCATTAGTTGTGTCTTTTGAAGGCTGCAGGGGTAAGCACAGTAGTTTAAGCTTCAGGTTGGAAATATATACACATTCCAGCACCGCTAGTTAGCGTCTCAGCAAGGCTGACTCAGCCCTTCAACTTTTGAAGGTAGGTACACTTAGGACACATTCAAAAGTGAAGCTAGCGTTGAAATTGCTGTATCATATAATATCAGGGTTGGAAGGGACCTCAGGAGGTCGTCTAGTCTCCTGTCCAAAAGCAGGACCAATCCCCAACTAAGTCATCCCAGCCAGGGCTTTGTCAAGCCTGACCTTAAAAACCTCTAAGGAAGGAGATTCCACCACCTCCATAGGTAACCCATTCCAGTGCTTCACCACCCTCCTTGCGAAAAAGTTTTTCCTAATATGCAACCAAAACCTCCCACACTGCAATTTGAGACCATTACTCCTCGTTCTGTCATCTGCTACCACTCAGAACAGTCTAGATCCATCTTCTTTGGAACCCCCCTTCAGTTAGTTGAAAGCAGCTATCAAATCCCACCTCATTCTTCTCTTCTGCCGACTAAATAATCTCAGTTCCCTCAGCCTCTCCTCATAAGTCATGTGCTCCAGCCCCTGATCATTTTTGTTGCCCTTCGCTGGACTCTTTCCAATTTTTCCACATCCTTCTTGTAGTGTGGGGCCCAAAACTGGACACAGTATTCCAGATAAGTGCTCACCAATGCCGAACAGAGGGGAATAATCACATCCCTCGATCTGCTGGCAATGCTCCTACTTATACAGCCCAAAATGCCATCAGCCTTCTTAGCAACAAGGGCACACTGCTGACTCATATCCAGCTTCTTGTCCACTGTAACTCCTAGGTCCTTTTCTGCAGAACTGTTGCCTAGCCATTCGGTTCCTAGTCAGTAGCAGTGCATGGGATTCTTCCATCCTAAGTGCAGGACTCTGTACTTGTTCTGGTTGAACCTCATCAGATTTCTTTTGGCCCAATCCTCTAATTTGCCTACGTCCCTCTGTATCCTATCCCTACCTTCCAGCATATCTACCACTCCTCCCAGTTTAGTGTCATCTGACAACTTGCTGAGGGTGCAATCCATGCCATCCTCCAGATCGTTAGTGAAGATATTGAACAAAATCGGCACCAGGACCGACCCATGGGGCATTCCGCTTGATACCAGCTGCCAACTAGATGGGAAGCCATTGATCACTACCCATTGAGCCCGATGATCTAGCCAGCTTTCTATCCACCTTATCGTCCATTCATCCAGCCCATACTTCTTTAACTTGCTGGCAAGAATACTGTGGGAGACTGTATCAAAAGCTTTGCTAAAGTCAAGGAATAACACATCCACTGCTTTCCCCTCATCCAGAGCCAGTTATCTCCTCATAGAAGGCAATTAGATTAGTCAGGCCTGACTTGCCCTTGGTGAAGCCATGCTGTTCCTGATCACTTTCCTCTCCTCTAAGTGCTTCAGAACTGATTCCTTGAGGACCTACTCAATGACTTTTCCAGGGACTGAGGTGAGGCTGAATGGCCTGTAGTTCCGCGGATCCTCCTCCTTCCCTTTTTTTAAAGAAGGGCACTACATTAGCCTTTTTCCAGTCATCCGGGGCCTCTCCCAATTGCCATGAGTTTTCAAAAATAATGGCCAATGGCTCTGCAATCACATCAGCCAACCCCTTTAGCACCCTCGGATGTAGCACATCCAGCTTTTCCAAATAGTCCTGAACCACTTCTTTCTCCACAGAGGGCTGGCCACCTCCTCCCCATACTGTGCTGCCCAGTGCAGCAGTCTGGGAACTAACCTTGTCTGTGAAGACCGAGGCAAAAAAGGCATTGAGTACATTAGCTTTTTCCACATCCTCGGTCACTAGGTTGCCTCCCTCATTCACTAAGGGGCCTACGCTCTCCTTGACCTTCTTCTTGTTGCTAACATACCTGAAGAAACCCTTCTTGTTACTGTAACCTGGCTTTCAGTGCATTTATGGTATAACAACATAAGAATGGCCCTACTGGGTCAGACCAAAGGCCCATCTAGCCCAGTATCTCATCTTCTGACAGTGGTCAGTGCCAGGTGCTTCACACGGAATGAACAGAACAGGTAATCGAGTGATTCATCACCTGTCGCTCATTCCCAGCTTCTGGCAGTGGCTAGGGACACCATCCCTGCCCATCACCATTGATGGACCTATCCGCCTTGAACTTACCTAGTTCTTTTTTGAACCCTGGTATCGTCTTGGCCTTCACAACATCCTCTGGCAAAGAGTTCCACAGGTTGCCTGTGCGTTGTGTGAAAAAATACTTCCTTTGGTTTGTTTTAAATCTGCTGCCTATTAATTTCATTTGGTGACCCCTAGTTCTTGTGTTATATGAGTAAATAACACTTCCTTATTTACTGTCTCCACATCAGTCATGATTTTATACACCTCTATCATATACCCCCTTAGTCGTCTCTTTTCCAAGCTGATGAGCCCCAGCCTTATTAATCTCTCTTCATATGTAAGCTATCCCATACCCCTAAACATTTTTGTTGCTTTTTTCTTTACCTTTTCCAATTCCAATCTCTTTTGAGATGCGGGAGACCAGATCTGCACGCAGTATTCATGATGTAGGTGTACCAAGGATTTATGTAGAGGCAATATGATATTTTCTGTCTTATCTATCCCTTGCCTAATGATTCTCAACATTGTTGGCTTTTTTTTTTTTTTTGGACTGCCGCTGCACATTGAGTGGATGTTTTCAGTGAACTATCCACAATGACTCCAAGATCTCTCTCGAGTGGTAACAGCTAATTCAGACCCCATCATTTTATATGTATAGTTATTATGTTTTCCAATATGCATTACTTTGTATTTATCAACACTGAATTTCATCAGCCATTTTGTTGCCCAGTCAACCACATGGTATCCCACATCAACTTGGATCATGTTTACAGTAGGAAAAGGGCAGATTTTTAACATGCATTTAGAGTAGAAAAGGCAGTTGTATTTTAACAAATTGTTAGCTGATCACAGAAAACGCTGTCAGGAAACCTAGGGTTTACCTGGACAAGCTAAGACTACTGTAGTTGTAAAACTACAACTTTGTCCACACTAGGCTTTTAAAGGGTTAAACACACCTTTTCTCCTAGCGAAGGTAAGGCCTTGGAATTTAGAAAGCACCTTATATTTACACATAGGAAAATGGGCACAGGGCTCAGTAATCCACCTTTGGGTTTGGATCACTGCTTCTAAGGAAACCTAGGTTGATGTAAGGTTCTGGCTGAGGGGATGGAAGAGAGGAGTGTAGGATGAAAAGCTAACAGGAGAGTATAAGAAAATGCAAGTTATACTTACACCTTTGGCTCATAAATTACATCACCCCAACTCCCTTACACAATCACCAAGTGGATCTAAAAGGAGTCTGACTTGCCTTTTAATTTTGTATACTGGATTTCATTTTTTTATGGGCACATCTTTCTAATGAGACTTGGACTTTTTTTTTTTTTAAATCTCCTGTGTGTGGACTTTAACAATTCCATTGAACTTTGTCTTTTAAAAAATAAACTTATTTTGATGTAACCTTCGCACCACAGCAGCTCCAACTAGTAGCTTTGGGTCCTAAACAGAATAGGTAACAAGATCAGATAGATCTTGTTAGTGCTTTGTGCAGTCCAATTTTAAACAGCCCCAGGGATGAGCATCCATTACTTTAAAGGGCAGGTTTTAGAGGGTGAAACATGTCACTGAAGCACCCCATCATGATCACATGCATACATTTCTCTCTATGAAAAACAGAGAGCCCACACAGATTGCCCAGTGAGTGTTAGGGCAACATTTGAACCAGACTGGCTTTAAAATGTATTTGTTAAATAAGCTCAACTTATCTCTTCAAGTTATTCTCATGATATATTTTCCAGCCTTCACTATGTATGTCAAGAGTTTGGTATGTATATTTATATTTTAGGATGCAACATTGATGAAAAGCTTGTTTATCCTGTTTCTGATGTGTTTCACTAATTTCTGAAGATATAAATGAACACAGCCATTACAAAAAGTCATTTATTTTCATAAATATGTACATATATACACACACATGCAAAAAATGACTTTACATACATATACACAGGTTCAATTGTTAATGCAGTGCAAAGGTTTTTTTTTTTTTAAAAAGGTACCAGCCAGCCTTTCAAGAAATCTTAACAGCTCTTTGGTTAAAAAAGGCAGGGGGAGAACGGGTCAATATTTCATAAGTTGGCAAAGCACTCTAAATATTTTAACTGGAAGGAAGGTTTACTCTTGGCCTATTTTCTTGTGTTGTGTTTCTAGATGAACAACAGAGTTTCCAAGAGACTTAATGTGAAAATTGAAAATGAGAATTAAGTGGATAAATAATCAAATTATTTTAAATGGTCCAAGGTTCTGACAAAAATTTGATTCCTTTTAAAGATCTGATTCAATACAAGCACAATCCTGGTGTTCTGATCCAGATTTTCTGTTCTCAAACAGTAAAACGCTTGTTTTATTAAATCTTGAAGGACTCATATAAATGTAAAACTATGTTATCTCTTTTCCTGTTTTAGCAAAAGAAAGTTTAAACATATATTATACACACACACACAGAGTGCACAGAATTAACATACCAAGAAGCCAGTGTAAACAATACAGAAAAAAAATTAGGACAGTCAATGCTTAACTTGACCTCTCCTTGGTCCCTGAATCACAACCCAAGCTGGAAGAAGTGTTCAGCTATTAATGGACACACATTGCTACATGTATGTTCCCTAATATGGATTTTGAAGGCAGGCTTACCCACATTATAGAACCAGATCTCCCTGTGAATAGTTCCCTGCCAATTCTACCTCCTTTGTAACAAATCGCTACTAGGTGTTTGTCCATTCATCAGACATAGGGTCCACTGGGAAAGCAGAACGTTGTATTGAGAGATTTTGCTGTATTGTTTTCCTAAAGATTCTTGGGTTGGATGATCCTTCCAGTAGGCAAATCCAGTGATTCATTTCATTATGCTTAAACCTAACATTTTGGACCATATGTACTCAAGGCAGTGGGCCACTTGTAACACCGTGGCTACGTACGCCAGCTGAATGAGAGCTAGTGCAGGTATGTCCTTTTTGAGCTGGAATTCACATCTCCAGACAGCAGTGTTGACATACCTAAGTGTTCTAGGTGCCCAAGTCTATGCAAGACTAGCTTTACTCAAATACATTTAGTGGAGACAAGTACAACACTAACAGGATCAGGGGAGACATAGAAATCAGATCCTGCCATTAAGGTTATTCCCCACAATGTTTTGTCCATGTACAAAGTAAATCTCCTACCCCTTTTCCTAGCAGGAACAGCTTTCCCTATTTAAGTCAATGCACTGCCACCTGGTTAAGACTAGCCAGAGGTAGGAGCACCATGTCCTGTAACATCAGCAAGGCAGACCCTAGTATGGAAATTTAGAAAACGGATTATTAAAAAAAAGTTTACTCTTAGTCATCTTCATGCATTATTTTCTAATAAGACCTCCATTCATATGAATAGAACATGTTACAAGTGCTACTAGGCTGAATGTTAAGAAAGGTTTCCCTGACAGAACTGGATTTCTGCCCTGATCACCATTAAAAAAAAAAACCTACAAGATGAAACTTAGGTCTGCAGGACCAGACCTTCAGCTGAAGCTCAGCAAAATCTTACCTGACACAAAGCAACCCTGATATGTGAAGCAAGAACACCCTTCTCATTAATGGTACTTTTATATTTTTATCAGAGAAAATGCAAAACATTTTGATTGGCTCTTAGTTTAAAAATATTGTCAAAATGTAAGTAAAGAACTTTGGCTCATGTTCTTCAATAGTCCAGATAAGAATGAGGAGTAACTTTGAATTGATATATTAAAAAGTCAGGCCTTGACATAGCTTGGCAGCATATAGAGATATGTCAACATGTCTCTTGACATTTAATTGTTCCTTGTAATTTGAGTAATACAAAACAGATCAACAATTGCTGCTTCATTGTGCTTTTTGATACACCGATAAAGAACTTGAAATGTTTAAAAAAGGAGGTTATAATTTCTGGCTTCCTTAGGCATTTATTTTACTATGAGTTCAGAAATATTAAAAACCAGTTAAGTCCTAAAATAAAAAAGGAAACATTTGCAAGTGATACTTCAAACATCAAATTTTTAAGCAAATGTTATGTTATTCATGAAGTCTGGGAACGGCTACCTTAGCCTATTCCACACAGTTTAATAGATCTCAGGGCTCGTCTACACTACCCGCTGGATCGGCGGGCAGAGATCGATCCAGCGGGGGTCGATTTATCGCGTCTAGTATAGATGCGATAAATTGACCATTGAGCACTCTCCTGTCGACTCTGGTACTCCACCAGAACAAGAAGCGCAAGCGGAGTCGACAGGAGAGCGTCAGCCATCAACTTACTGCAGTGAAGACACCGTAGTAAGTAGATCTAAGTAAGTCTACTTCAGCTACGCTATTCACGTAGCTTAAATTGTGTGTCTTAGATCGACCCCACGTGGTAGTGCAGACAAGCCCTTAGTATCAAGCAGTTTTCCCCGACAGTCAACCTAAATGTTCCTTTTCAGTTTCATTCTATTAGGCTTAGTTGTGCCTCCTTGTGCCTTAACTTCTTTCTCATCTGACCTGATATCTGAAGGACAAACATCAAGAAAGGCTGACCCCTTTAGTTTCTATGCTAAGCAGTGACTTTCTCTTCTCTCTTCAAATATCAATACCTGGACAGTCTTCTGTGGACACCCTTCAGCATGTCTGTCTTCATTACGGATACCTGGAACTGAATGAAATAATTCTAGGAGTGCTTGCATCCGAGCTGCATAAAGGATTATGATCCTTCCCTGCTCTGACACATGCCTCACCCCATGCAGCCTACAACCATAGGGTCTTTTTGGCGGTCATATCATCTTACAATTTCACATCCAACTTACTGTCTCCTATCAAGCTAAAGTTTCCACTGGTCTCCAAGTTTCTACCCACCACTGTTTCTGATGTTTCATTTTAGCCCTTTCCTTCTGATATATTTTTCCCTTTTTAAAGTTTATTTACTCCTGGAATTTCAGCTCAGTTTTCTTTACTACACAGTGCCTTTCCATGTACCAAAAACATAGAAGAATCTTTTGCTATTTCTCTAAAACAACAAGGAGTCCGGTGGCAAATAAATCTGTTAGTCTTTAAGGTGCCACCAAACTCCTTGTTGTTTTTGTGGATACAGACTAACACAGCTACCTCCTGATACTTCTGTTTCACTGTAGCAGTGCATGGGACTAGGTACAGTAAAGGCTGTACTATTAGAACAGCAGACATAAACAATATCCAGTCACTTAAATCTTTATGCACAGATTTATGCATTGGCTGCACAGAGTTGCATTGCACAAGTTGTCAGAGGAAGGTGCAGGTTTCGGCAGCTGGATAGTCAGTTGTTAGGGCTTTTAGCACACAATGTGTGGGTCTGGTTTAAAATATTAGCTGGATGTTTCTACTATAATAGTCAGTAGTGAAATAGATAATATTGACTAACATTTAAGCTGCCTACAGAGTCAGGAAGGTAACTCTCCATCAATTTAATCTCTGCAAACATGAAAGGTAGAGACATTAAGTGAAAGAACAATTCCTCAGCAAGGGGATGAAATTCTACAGAATACATGGGACTACCATAAAACGGTTAAGTGAGAAAAAATTAAGAGGTTACCTCCACAGTATTACAACTACAAGCTTCCTGTAATTTCTCAGGTTTCATGATTCTCCACTAACCCTCCAAAAGACAGCTGTGTCAAAACGTTAGACATTCTTTATACAGAGAAAACTTATCAAAAAAGTGTTCAGATACATTTTATATCTCAGTGTATACTTCAGCACATTAAATACCAGAATATACACTGCAGCAGAGGTGGAGAAATTCAGTTCCTAATGACTATATTCAAAAGTGCATGCTCATAAATTAATCTTAGCATGAGAGCTTAAATGTAAAATAAAGAGAACCTGCTCTTGCTTTCCAGGATGGGGAATGGATTTCTAATCGCTAATAACATATCTTTTGAAAGGTTGAAAAACTCACTGGGTTGTCACAAAATACATCTTCCAAACTTATTTATCTGTATAAACCAAACAAACATATAATTACCCTTTCAAAAAATGTGACCTTCAACAGGGAAATAAAGGCCACTTGGGCTGAAAGGTCAGTTGTGTGTTTTTTTGGTTTGGTTTATGCAGCTTCAAAAACTTACTGACAATTTCTCAATAAGCTCACACCATACCAACAATTAAGATGTACAGTTTACTCAAGAGACATTTTACATCCTTTATGGTTTTTAAAAGGGCCCCTGACCTTTTCTTTTCTTCAGACCCCTATCATTCTATTTCACCTTAGTAGGATTACCCTGAAAATCCCACTAAAAGCATTTTTTCCACCAATTACTGACTAATTATGGCAAATGCCTCCTTAGTTTACATCTGTCGAGCAACTTAGGATCTATAGATGAAAGTGCTAAGCATTATTATCCACAATTTTAATCAGTCTCGGTTTTAAAGTACAATTTCAATGTTTTCTGTCAAACTTCCAGGGCAACACACTGAAATAGTGAACTGTTGCAAAGCAAATGAGACAAATGAAGAGAGACTGACTGTTTGGTATTAGTCAAGGAGTACATTGAAAAGATTGAGTACTGAAGATTCTCAATGGTAGTGAGAACCTCCATTACGAATGCTTGCAAATAGTCTGCAATGCACAGCTGAAGTACAACTAATCCCCTGAATGTCTATTTGACACTAATTAGAAGAGCACAGTTTATTTCGAGTTGTTTCATTTCAAAATCTCTCCCTGGTGATAACCATCGTTGTACAGTTTTAAAATATGCCCCAAAGTATTTTTGGCTAGTGTAAGTAAATAAAAGTTTTTTTAAAATATGAGCGATGAATCCCATGTGTGTTTTCATACTCCAATATCAGGCTGTTTCTCCATCAGTTGCCTTGTCAGTATCTGATATGAAGAAAGAGAAGCCACTCCTATGTGAAAGAGTATTTGCCAGATGTTTCTTAATCCATACAAGTAAATGTTGCATAGACAAATGGAGAAAAACAGTACAAATGCCTTCATCTTCCTTGATGAACCATGGAACAAGTACAAATAACACTGGAATAGCATCAGAGAAACAATGTTAGCAAACTGAATATACACAGACAAGGATCACAGCTTACAACTACTGGCACCTATGATTTAGGGATTCACCTGCTACTAAAACGCACACAAAAAGCTTAAAGCTCTTTTCAAGTCTTATCTATTACAAGACCATCCATCCAACAGAAGTGAATTGGTGGCCTCAATCCAGATCCTACTGAACAGGTACCATATCCACAACAAAGAAACCCACCAGCGCAATTGGCACCCTTGTTGGTAGTCGAAAAAGGATTAGCAAGAAGTAAACAAGTATGAAAGCTAAACTACATTCTAAGACTCAGATGTGAACCTTGTAGGTTAAGGCTGAAAATCAACGGCAGGGAGATTCGAGGCAAACCTCTACTCACTTCTGCTGTACCTATTCTGGGCAAAAATAAAGGGCTACATTAACAGTGATTTTATCCCAGAATTCACTTAAATATTAGAGGATATAATTTCTAACAAGAGACTCAGAGCAAGGTTTAAACAGAACAAAACAAAAAATTCCCAGTGCAGGTACAGTCCACTGGTTCAGTGTGTTTTAAGTGTTCTCCTCTAGTGGCTGGTCCACATAACAGGGTAAGAGCCTATTACGCGTGCCAGCTAAAGGAGTTACTTGTTTAGCTCAAGCAGTCAAGACTCGGGCTTTAGTCTGCTGGAGGTCTTGGGTTCAAACCTTGCTGGTGACACAAGTGGGATTGCTATATACGCAGCACTTTGCACTGAGTATGAGTATGCAGGGTCACTTCATGACTCTGTCCTACCATAATCTAAGAGGGCAAAGAGCCCAAAATACAATGTTTGTTAGCATTTTCCACTCTCAGCCAAGAAGATGGGAAAGTCAAGAAAGAGCTACTCTGTGTAAAAAGGTGAAACTGACTGGCATCAAGTTTTAGGAGCAGATCACTTCACGTCACCCAAAAAATACGAAGTTTCTACTATGTGAAATACTGGCCCAAAAAATTAGTATAAGCTACGCAATTACTTCTCTTACTGTATGTATATGTACCACCCCGGGATGGATCACCAGCAGTCAGGACCAAAGGTAGGACCTCTGGATCTATAAGCATTAGACTCTACTGCCTGAGCTAAAGAGACCCAGACCTTGTTATCTCAAAGCCAGCAGCAGATCCACACCTCTAAGTGGTCCAGCCATTAGAGTAGACAGAGAACCACAGTAAAAATGGGTTACACATGTACCAGAGCAAAGAGTTGTTTCACCTTAACTGTCTCTCCCCTTATTTTGGCAGAAAAGTCCAATGAATTTAAAGGGCAAAAAACTTCAATCACAGTCAGAGAATCAAGCCAAGCTAGAAGCTATATGGTACAATAAAGGACTAAGCCCAGAATACTAAGTTTCTGAAATTCTGTGATTGGACAAAACACAAATCAGATATTAAAAGGTACATTTCATTATCAGCCTAGGTTAACCTAACATGGCAAATAGTTTTCTAAATATTTCTAGCATATTAATCACCACACAGAAATACTGAAAGTGATACTTCACTAATTTACATTTTTGCAAGGTGTTCTTTGAAAGAGGTCTGGAGTTGTATTCACACTTAGAACTTTATATTTATGCCGATTACAAACACTTATTGCAATTCTGCAATTTTACATTTGGCCAGGTTTTCAAAGGGCAATAATGCACAAGCCTAAATCCAAGACCTCAGCTCCTAAAGAAATACTACTTCATCCCTCTTGGAAACCGTCATCTCTGTGCCACGCCTCATTTATCACAGAGCCGCATCTGGCACTTTCCAGTAAAGATGCACTGTATCAAGCCTGTCATTGCGATTTAACAAGAGTCAAATTCTGCCCTCACATTCGTGCTACTTCACTTAAGTCAGTGGAACTGAGTGGCTGTAATGACAGAACATAACTTGGTCTTCCGACTAAACCTTAGATTATGCAGAAACTAACGTGGCATTCTATACACAATAAATATATTGGCTCTTTCCGCTGTAGATTTGAGAGCGTGTCCAAAGTAATTCACTCATTTGAAGAAAGGCTGAGCTGGTCAAACAGCAAGGTTTTTAAAGCATTTAATATTTGAAATGTTAATTTGTTATAGGCTAGAATTTCTCTATTTTAGCACTGAAGGTTAGTGTCCAAAGATAAGACTAAATACTAATGTTGAATTTAAATACAGTTAAAGTTTAAAGTTTCCAGACTTATTTTTAAATAAATTAGAGCATGTAGTTTTGCCCATTTTCAGTCCATTTTACCAGTTATGCAAAGTCCAAGTTCCTCAAATAATTGAGCTCAATTCAAGCACCACATGACCCTGAAATCAGGATGACGGCTGTTCATTTGTAGGTTGGCTTGTTTAGACGTGAGCATTCATCCATTATACCCATGTGAATCAGAAAACCAAGAACATAATTTGGAAAATGAATATGCAAAAGCTCTAAGGAATGCCAAATATGAATGCTTGTTCTTCCACTATACCGCACAAAAGATTACTCAAATTCTTGCAAAGCTCTCAGAGAAGAGGAGAAGGGGATTTCGGTTACCATTTGAAATAATGCAAGAAGAAATAATTATCTGGCAGCTACCTTAAAAGAATGAGGAAGAGGGCTGTACATGCTATTAAAGAAGTAGACTGGATATTGGGCCAAGCTCATGCTAAAACAGCCTGAAAACAGGACCAGCTCCCACAGAGATTTGTCTCTTAAGCTAAATTCAGCAGTCATGTGTATAACGTAAGTTACAGATCTTTGTGTGAGTTGCACCTGTTTATGCCAGAACTGGTCCACAGGTAGTATTAAATTGCCCATAACATATTTTTGCACTCCATCAAATGCCAGATCAATGTAAGTTACATTACTTTACCAGGTTTCAGAGTAACAGCCGTGTTAGTCTGTATTCGCAAAAAGAAAAGGAGTACTTGTGGCACCTTAGAGACTAACCAATTTATTTGAGCATAAGCTTTCGTGAGCTACAGCTCACTTCATCGGATGCATACTGTGGAAACTGCAGAAGACATTATATACACAGAGACCATGAAACAATACCTCCTCCCACCCCACTCTCCTGCTGGTAATAGCTTATCTAAAGTGATCACTCTCCTTACAATGTGTATGATAATCAAGGTGGGCCATTTCCAGCACAAATCCAAGTTTAACTAGAACGTGGGGGGGGGGGGGGTTGGAAAAAACAAGGGGAAATAGGCTACCCTGCATAATGACTTAGCCACTCCCAGTCATTAATGACTCCCTAAGTCATTATGCAAGGTAGCCTATTTCCCCTTGTTTTTTCCTGCCCCCCCACCCCGACGTTCTAGTTAAACTTGGATTTGTGCTGGAAATGGCCCACCTTGATTATCATACACATTGTAAGGAGAGTGATCACTTTAGATAAGCTATTACCAGCAGGAGAGTGGGGTGGGAGGAGGTATTGTTTCAATGGTCTCTGTGTATATAATGTCTTCTGCAGTTTCCACAGTATGCATCCGCTGAAGTGATCTGTAGCTCACGAAAGCTTATGCTCAAATAAATTGGTTAGTCTCTAAGGTGCCACAAGTCCTCCTTTTCTTATTACTTTACCACTCACAGCTGATGTGTAAGTTACACCATTAACATCAGCAATGCCTTTTGCCTACTGACTAGGAGTCTGTTGCAATATCCAACATGACTGCAATGCAAAAGGATCTTCATATATGACCTCAGGATTGTTTACTGGCAGATAGGTGACAAAAAAAGCTATTCTGTAAAGTAAACAGATGTGCACGTGACAGGGTGCTGGGCAAGAACTGCTGACTCAGCCCTCTGTCACGGCAGCCCCTATTAAGGTAAGTAAATTGGAGCTGGCTAGTGAAAACCTGCAACTAATTGGGAGACAGCTGCCCACCCAATTATCCTGGGGCTATATAAAAGGCTGGGAGGAAGGATGCGGAGGAGCAGCGAGGGAGTGGAAGCAGAGGGATAGCTCTTCCCTCTGGGTGCAGACGCTAGAATCCAAGCAGTGTATGGTGAGAAGATGGTGGGAGTACAACCTGTAAATAAACAGCACCCGTGGTTACCGAAGCCCAGGGTCTCAGAGTGACTTTGTCAGCACAACAAGGGTAGGAGCCAAGAGGGCCCTGCAGTGCATAATTGTCATTTTACAGATAGAAAGACCAAGGCTGAGAAGTTACGAGATTTATTCGAGGCTGCACTGAGTCAATGGCAGTGTTAGAATAAAACCTAGCAGGCCCTGGATTTGTCTCAGATTCACAAACAATTTTGGTGATTCATATATCATGACAGGGAAACAATGGAAAAACAAGGTCTGTGCTACAGTATCTTAAGGATTCTCTTTAGAAAATGTTAAAGTGTGAAAGAGTTTTAAAACTAGTTAATATAATTAAAATTATGGCTCAAGGCTTTTGAAGTTTGTATGACCCTGCTTTTTCAAGTGGTTTAAAGAAAACGCTACAATGCTGGAATAGCACAAAACATACCTATTGCTACTTTGGGGAGTTTTCATTTAACTAGTGGTTTATGTGGGGGCTATTTTAAACCAGAATAGTTCTTGAGATATCTGTACAATGAAAGGGATAGATAAACTTACAGCTGAGGGGTTGAGAGGAGCTATAAGTCAATAGGTGCCTAACGGGTTAGAAGTGTGAAGGCTCCATTTGTAGACCGCATCTACCCAATGCCCAACTTTTGCTCCTGTGTCTTGTATGCATCCAAGCACAGAATTTCAGCCAGCGAACAGACAATGTGCTTCGAAGTCTCCTATTCTGCACATTGATCACACTCGACAAATGTTTGTTAGATGCAGCGCAGTAGATGAAAAATGCAGGAAGAGTGCCAGAGCACAATAGCTAAATTTAACATACCTGAAAAATGCAGGCTAGAAAAGAAAGGAGAAATGCTATTACATTTCCAGTTCCCTCGTGGTCTTCCTGTTTGGGGAAGATAAAGAAGAATTTTTTAAGAGTTACTGAGTTTTAGTTGATGCCAAGTGCTGCTTGACATTTTATACAGGTGCATTCTATAGAAATACTTATTCTCATTCTACTGTGGTACCATCATAATCTCAGAATACAAAGTCAGACTGGAGTTAAATCAATATTCATTGAACAAAATACTGGAAATTGAGATGTATGGATCAATTTAGGCCACAAAATAAAAACTGCGAAACACTAAACGATTTAGACTTTTTTTAAAGAGGTACTTTATGCTGATTCCACAATGTATTTTCTAAAAGATATAAAAGTGCACTATCCGAAGAAACACATGCAATTTATCAAAACAGACATTTTAAAGTGGGACAATATGTCCACATAAAATCCTTCCAGGATGTCAAAAATAAAGATTCTCCTCCACCTTTCAAATGAACTACATCACTCCACTCCCTCCAGGGAAAAAAGATTTTTCAACATGCCCTGAAGCTCAAAAAACTCAGGCTCTGACAGATCAGAGTGCATGAAGTATATTCACTGATCTGAATAAAGCTCTCCGGATAAACAAATTATAACTTGAAAAGTTATGGTGTGCAATAGCCACCGATGATCTGATACCTGTATAACTCTAATCCTCCTCTCCTTTCCCCACATTACAACTCAAAAGTCAATAAAAGGTTACCTGAAAAGAATACTCTGCTAGATGAACTCCTCGAATGAGGTTCAAAGCCCCACACATGATGTTGAGAACAAGAGACAGAATCCCCAAAGGAGTCACAGGTTGCATTCTGTAGGTAGGGGCTTCAGACAATTTAAAAAAAAAAAAAAAAGACTTTGAAAATTCATTCCAATTACTTCATTCCTTTTTCATAAGGAAACTCAAATTCAGTCTAATTATGGGTTGCATATTCAAGGCCTTGTGTACTCTCTGGCAAGATGGACTTTAATTTTGTGGCAAGGCGCACAGTTTCTGTTGCACTTCATTGCTGAATTCTCAGGGTACCTGGACATTCTACAGCAGCTACCAATAAACTGAAGTGATTTTTAATGGACTGAATGATACGATCAGTCCATTAGCACTTGCATTATGTATCTGGATATTAAGTGTCGCTTATTTTTTGCCACACCTAAATTTTCAGTTGTCAGCATGCTACAGAGTTTTGTATTGAAGACACTTCACTTCCTTGTCAGCAGAAAAGCTGGAGGTTTTGGCATCCAGAAGTCATGGGAGGTGGCTTACAGTTCTTGCACCCAAGAAGCAGTTACAGCTTTTGACACTGGAGAGGGGAAGTATCTCCTCTTTGCTGCTCCTTGTGGGCAGAGATGACTTTACACATAGGGACTGAAAGGGGCTTTAACTCTTAGGGGGCAGCTACACCGCAGGATTCTTTTGGCGGCGTGTAGTATACATATGTGCATAGGCCTTCCAACACAGGTATCTATAGCAGCGTAGACATGTTCTCTACTGGCCCATGCTGTGCCTCCCCTACACTGCTATTTTTAACAGTGTAGTGTCCCACTGCAAAGCCCTTCCACAGTGCAGGGAAAGGCTCCAGTAGCTCTCCGCTGCTGAAGCCTTTCCGTACAGCAGAGAAAGGCACCAGCAGAACGGAAAAGGCTCAGCATTTCCCCACTGCTCCCCCTTTCCAGAGTCCTTCCTCCTGGCAGTGAAAGGCTCTGGCAGCAGGGAGCAACTGAAGCCTTTCCACACTACCTGCCCTCTGCCAGAGACCTTCACCACAGTGAAAAGCACACCTTATCCACTCTGCACCGCACAGCTTCACCGAAAGTGGTGTGATGTGTAGACGTAGCTTTAGTTCCTGATCCCAGCAAACCCTCGACAACAGCTGCACTGCTGGTACCCACATCCATCATCGATGGTTTAAGCACCTTATCTGCCAACATTAACCTGCACTTAGGCTTCTGAAGGAACTCCAGCACTGAGCTGAGCAGGCTAATTCACACCTCAGATACTGGGCTCCAATTCTCTCTTACACCAAGATGCACAAGATACAAGAAAGAAGAGACGGGTCATCAAGGAGCCGCCCCAGTTCTTACGATGTTCGGGCCTCAGCCCAGCTATAGCCAGTAGCTGGCTGGTATCCCCAAACTGTGGAGCATAGAGGAGGTCCACTTTGCACCCTCACCAACCATTCATGCCTGGGGAAAGGGGCAGATGGCACAGGAGGTAGCTCCACTGGCTTTTATGCCAACTGAGAATTCCTCTCCACCAGCTCGGGTCTCAGTTCAGCAGTTGTAGCTGGATTCCATCATCTTTGCATTGCTAAGGTAGCAAAGAGCCTGCAAGCAGGGAAGAGAATGTGCAGCACCATTTTATGCTCATTGTAGCTTCAAGAAGACTAAACAAAATAGTAAAGGTTTTCCTCACACCCATAAGGGCTAGAAACTTATTTATAAAAAACAGCAGAGGATGGAACTGCAATCATGAAAACACAGAATACCCAATTCACGTATTTGAGCATTATATAAATCGATACAAACAATAAGTTTAAATATTAACTTAGTTAATATCAAACTTAAACACACAAGAGCAAAGAGTTAAGAGGCAGCAATTCCTTTATTGGAAGGGCCTCAGAACCAGAAGTGATCTTACTCCACCTCAAAAATACATACTAGTAGCAATATAGGAATGCAAAAAACCAATTATGTATGTTTTATAGCACCTTTAATCTAGCTGTCTCAAAAAGCAGTATAAATATTATGCCTCCCCAGGTCAGGAGCTCCCCTATAAGATAAATGCATATCACCACATTTCACTCTTTAGTATGCAGCCACTGCTGGGATGGAATGCAGCAGCTGTTTAATACAGTGATACTGAACAGTTTAAAGTAGGAATTTCACTCACTCACTTTTTTTTTTATTAAAATAAAGTCTTGTCCTATAACTGAGGTTTCCTTGACAATGTGGGCTTACAGAAAGCTTCAATGCTATTTGAATACAGTGGTGTAAATCAGTGCTAATAAATGGCTACGCAATTAACTCATCTGGCACTCACCCACACATCTGCTTTTATCTCAGACACTGCTGTGGCAGCAGCCACATTAATTTTGTGATGCAATATGCCAGCATCATGCAACATTACTGGACACAAGTTTCCACTGAAATCAATGGTGTAGGTATCTCAGTCACTTAAATATGACTTTGCATAATAAAAAACAGCAATGAAATTTAACATTGAAGTGACTCACTGAACAGTGTTTAGTCAGATAAGCAGCACCAGCATGTTTTATTTTCTCAATGATCTGCACACACAGTTCACTGTACATTACTCTTGATGGATTAAGTTTTACTAAAATAAGCAACAGTGCATATTCCTCCTGACACAATTTTCCAGAAAAGAGCATTGATTCTCCCTTCCTCGTCTAGCTATCCCTTGATTTCAAGTTGCCGAGTTTGTTCATGCAGACGACATATGCCTTGGCACTCAGTCACATGCCTTTGACATACCTGAGAGTGTGTTCTAAACGCAGATATGGTGGCTATGACGGATTGTCGTTGGCTGCGCCTGATACCAAGTGGAAGACAGACTGTGCTGAGTGTTTCCCACTTACATCATGAACAAGTGGGCAGACAGCTGAATATAGTTCTCAATGGTCAGCGAATAAAGCGTGATTCACACCTGGTCTATCTAGGCATGACATTGGATAGAACTCTCACATATCATGACCATTTTATAAAGACAGCGACTCAGGTCAAAATACACAAACCTGCTCAGAAAACTGGCTGGAATGACATGGGGAGCCAAAGCCCAAACGTTACACACTTCAGCCATGGCACTCTGTTATTCGGTAGAGTATTGCACTCCAGTATGGGCTTACTTGTCTCACACAAAGATGACTGACATACAATTTAATTCCACCATGCGTATTATTTCAGGCACACTTAAATCTACTCCTCTACCATAGTTACTGGTTCTCTACAATATTGCTTCACTCAGTGTTTGCAGAGAGGAAAGCGTAGCAAAGGTCATGACAACACTGCACGATAATGCCACAGTCACTGTTAATTAAAGATTGTTTAATCCACCACATGATCATCTGCACTCACATTGCCCATTGTAGATAAGTTTACCAGGAGAGGGATTTACGGTAGAGGTCCTCAGAGAAAGTGACAAATAATTATCTTGTCTCGGACCCCACTCAGTGTCATCCTGGGTTTGATTTACCATGAAGGCAATAGAGCCTTATGAACCAGTTTCGTACTGGACATGGAATTTGTGCTGCAGTGAAATTTTACAGACAGTCCACTATGTCAGTATGGGCAGCCACAAACTATGACACATATTGTTGAGGACTGCAAAGTGACTCAACTTCCTGGAGGTCTTCGTGCCTTGAGCATCGTTGATAAGAACGCTGTGGCTTGGCTTGACTGGACTGCATGCGCCAAATAAATACGTTGCCAAGATTCACTTCAGAGCCAATCAGTGTTTCACTTTAAAACAAAACAGGAATTGTCAGTAACTAATATAAGAGTAATTCTTCCCAGCTTGAAGCAAGCATATCACCAACTTCCATGCCCCAGTGAGAAACTATGGAGGCAACGTATGGAGACTTGAATATGATGAAAAATCTAGTTTAGAAAATTTACAAATTAGACGTTCTATACAGGAGGCAATAAGCATTAATATCATGGGAGAAAAAGAGTGGAGACTGCTATGCCTGATCACGTGGGGTTGATTTATTTCTGACTAGGAACTGATCTTTATACCCCAAGACAAAAGTTTTCATTTTATTCCTATATATGTCTTAGGCATTACCCACTCATAAAAGTTGTACCATAGAATATCAGGGTTGGAAGGGACCCCAGAAGGTCATCTAGTCCAACCCCCTGCTCAAAGCAGGACCAATTCCCAGTTAAATCATCCCAGCCAGGGCTTTGTCAAGCCTGACCTTAAAAACTTCTAAGGAAGGAGATTCTACCACCTCCCTAGGTAACGCATTCCAGTGTTTCACCACCCTCTTAGTGAAAAAGTTTTTCCTAATATCCAATCTAAACCTCCCCCACTGCAACTTGAGACCATTACTCCTCGTTCTGTCATCTGCTACCATTGAGAACAGTCTAGAGCCATCCTCTTTGGAACCCCCTTTCAGGTAGTTGAAAGCAGCTATCAAATCCCCCCTCATTCTTCTCTTCTGCAGGCTAAACAATCCCAGCTCCCTCAGCCTCTCCTCATAACTCATGTGTTCCAGTCCCCTAATCATTTTTGTTGCCCTTCGCTGGACTCTCTCCAATTTATCCACATCCTTCTTGAAGTGTGGGGCCCAAAACTGGACACAGTACTCCAGATGAGGCCTCACCAATGTCGAATAGAGGGGAACGATCACGTCCCTCGATCTGCTCGCTATGCCCCTACTTATACATCCCAAAATGCCATTGGCCTTCTTGGCAACAAGGGCACACTGCTGACTCATATCCAGCTTCTCGTCCACTGTCACCCCTAGGTCCTTTTCCGCAGAACTGCTGCCTAGCCATTCGGTCCCTAGTCTGTAGCTGTGCATTGGGTTCTTCCGTCCTAAGTGCAGGACCCTGCACTTATCCTTATTGAACCTCATCAGATTTCTTTTGGCCCAATCCTCCAATTTGTCTAGGTCTTTCTGTATCCTATCCCTCCCCTCCAGCGTATCTACCACTCCTCCCAGTTTAGTATCATCTGCAAATTTGCTGAGAGTGCAATCCACACCATCCTCCAGATCATTTATGAAGATATTGAACAAAACCGGCCCCAGGACCGACCCTTGGGGTACTCCACTTGATACCGGCTGCCAACTAGATATGGAGCCATTGATCACTACCCGTTGAGCCCGACAATCTAGCCAGCTTTCTACCCACCTTGTAGTGCATTCATCCAGCCCATACTTCCTTAACTTGCTGACAAGAAGACTGTGGGAGACCGTGTCAAAAGCTTTGCTAAAGTCAAGAAACAATACATCCACTGCTTTCCCTTCATCCACAGAACCAGTAATCTCATCATAAAAGGCGATTAGATTAGTCAGGCATGACCTTCCCTTGGTGAATCCATGCTGGCTGTTCCTGATCACTTTCCTCTCATGCAAGTGCTTCAGGATTGATTCTTTGAGGACCTGCTCCATGATTTTTCCAGGGACTGAAGTGAGGCTGACTGGCCTGTAGTTCCCAGGATCCTCCTTCTTCCCTTTTTTACCAATTACAGTGGTATGGCTTATTCCCATATTTAAGAGAATAAACCACGCCAGTATAAGTACCGTTATATCAGTATAACTACAACCACATTAGGGGTAGTACTGATGTAACTATTTCACTAGGGAAAGAAAAATAAAAGCACACCCATAACAGAAATAGTTAAGTCGGTACATAAATTGTGTGGACCAGGCCTTGGGGAATGAGAGTCTGTTCCGTGCTTATCAGCAGCAGTTCGTGCATATCTCGAGGAGACATACAATCCTGCAAATCCATTCACTAAGTAATGGGTAGAAGTTTCAATTAAGATTTTTCCAAACTGATTCCCTCAGCCTATATAACTGGAGAGCGAATGGAATTTTCAGCAAACAGTAATGTCTATTTCCTCAGGGCATTGTACAAAATAGTTGGCTGCCAAGGAGCCAAGCAGAGAAATAAGGCTGACAGAGAGCTCCAAGTCAATGCACAATCTTTAGCAGTATGAAATTAGACTCAGACATTTCCATTTAAAAATAAGTGAGGTATTTTAAATCTGAAAACCATTTATATTAAGATCTCATCTTAAGAAAATACAATTATGCTTTAAATATGACCTGTAAAGCTGTCCAGGAGACAAGCGATGCATCATTGTGTTCTCCCAAATGAACACCAGTAATTAGCATGTTTACCAGACAATTAGGACAAGATGCTTTTTCCATTTCATAAATACTATTTCAGTATCTGTCTAAGATGGAAATGTTCTCTCCTCTCCACATCATCTATTTACAACATTTCCTGTGTGCCCAGTTTCTTCCAGAACTCCACGGCTACATAAACACCATCAAGATAGGAGTTAAGCTTTCCAGTAAGACAATGGCGACCACACTGACCAAGGGAACAATGCTAGCACCTTGCTAGCAAGAACTGGGTTCAAGCACTGTTCTTTAGCACGGTACAAAAGGGGTTCCCTCTGGCCAGAGCAGATTCGGAGTAAATGGCTAGACTACACTCACCTTTCCAACATTAGAAATAAGGCGTCAGAAGATCTGGTCACAACATGGTTACAAAGTGTAGATAACCACCTCCCTATGACAAGACTAAAACCTTGGACAGTACACGTTTTTACCTGTTTACGAGGACACGATTAGGTCTTGTCTTATACTATATCTTTCAACCTTATTGAAATCAGATCTCCTGGCTTTGTGTTTCAGAGTAACATCCGTGTTAGTCTGTATTCGCAAAAAGAAAAGGAGTACTTGTGGCACCTTAGAGACTAACCAATTTATTTAAGCATAAGCTTTCGTGAGCTACAGCTCACTTCGTCGGATGCATACTGTGGAAAATACAGAAGATGTTTGTTTTTATACACACAAATCATGAAAAAATGGGTGTTTATCACTACAAAAGGTTTTCTCTCCCCCCACAAACTCACTCTCCTGCTGGTAATAGCTTATGTAAAGCGATCACTCTCCTTACAATGTGTAGGATAATCAAGGTGGGCCATTTCCAGCACAAATCCAGGTTTTCTCCCCTCCCCGCCTCCAACCTCCCCCCCAAACAAACCCACTCTCCTGTTGGTAATAGCTTATCTAAAGTGATCACTCTCCTTACAATGTGAATCATAATCAAGGTGGGCCATTTCCAGCACAAATCCAGGGTTTAACAAGGGCTTTGTGTTGTAACCAAGTTTCCTGACTAGTATAGTTGTAGTGTAGATAAAGCCTTTGTTTCTTTCTAAGATAAAACAAACAAATTTTGGAGGCAGTAGAATGGGATTCAGCCACTGCTTCTGTTAATGACAGAAAACGAAAGACTGAGATACAGACAAAAAGCCAGAAAAGCTGAGTGAAGCAGTGGTAGACAGATGAGGCTGAAAATGGTTCTTACAATAAGGATGAAAGAACATGCATGAGCACCGGGGTTAGACCACTGAAAAGAGCCAGAGGCACAAACCTAGATGGAAAATGGAAGAAAGTAATAAAGAATACTGAGGTTATGAGAACTGAATATTTAGTTCTTATCATTTGTTCAGGTATAGCTTGGAAATATTTTCTGGTCTTGAAACCATCTGTACTAGTTCAAAGTATTTCTAAGCCTGTCAGGTCGTAAGATATTGTCCCTTCACATGTGGTTCTGAAAACTGATCACTAATATAACTTGCCAATCATATCTGTTTGGTTTATTTACAAAACAATGGGATTTTTGTTAGCCCTTCAGATTCACCCTGAAATAGGCAAGTCAAGCTGTGTTCTGAGTTTTCGCATAGTAAGATGATACTTTAAAAAGTATCTATTTGTTTTTCAGTGTTTGTTATACAATATTAGCTATGTGAAACCTCTCAATAGGATATTTATGTAGATGTTTATCATAACTGTAAGACAGGTTTAATTCTGGTTTTTATGTACAGCAACTTTAAATGTAATCTGTTATCTTGCCTGGCTACTGGGGAAGAGGTGAAATGCTGTGAAACAATTCAAGATGGATAATCTTAAGTGAGACATCACCCTGCAGTCTCAGAGATATTTATTCTTTGAATCATTTTCTTCCTTAAGCCAAAATAAATCTTCTAGGCTGGAAGTATATTTTGGGTCTTTGTTTATGGAACACATGATATAAGGAAGCTCTTTCTCTTAAAGAAAATTAAAGCCTCCACTTGCTTAAATGCAGGGGAATGTGCAATTCGTAATTCCAGTATTAACGAACTTCCATAGAGAAAATGATTGATGGTTAAAGATGAACTACTGTAAGTACTTCATTGGTTTCTTTATGTATCTGCCATAACACAAGGGTTTATGTCCTCTTCATCATGATGAAAAAGGTAGCCTTGAACAAGAACTATTTGTCTGAGGTTTATATATGTTAACATGGGTTTCTCATTTCAGAAAAACACAACTGGGATTTTTAACTATTCACCAGAGGTTAAAAAGGAGTTATCAGAAGAAATCTGTATTGTTGACACTAAAAAAACTTTGCATACCAATAACTTACCAGACCCCATGTGCACTTCTGTGTGCCCGTTAATCATCCCATTCATCAGCTCTGTATCCTCTAGTTTCAGAAGCACAGGAGGATGGAACTTCAGCTCTTCCTGAATTTTCTCCAGGCGGTTCTTCATTTGAGAGCAGCTTGTGTAGTTGAAATGGTATTTCACTTTCTGAATAATATTATCTATAAGAGGGTATCAAGAAATATTTTAATTAAAACACTGGATTGTTAATGAGCTAACTGATATCCTGGACCTTCCTATCCCATTTTTTTTAATATATCTAAAATATTATTTACTATTTGGGTCAAATTCTTTGCTTTCTATTTGTTGTGTAAAGTACCTATCACACTTCTGGATGCTGTAACACACACATTCGCCATCCCAGATATGCTTAAAACACAGCTTTACTCTGCGTAGTAAAGATGACCTAACCATGGTTTAGCAACGTCTATAAATCACAATGAAGCCTTGAATGCTGTTAGGTCCCATCTACTCCGCAAGACGGGATTGTATTTTAACAGTGCCAGGGATTTTAGTTTTACAGTGCAAGATGGGACCTACTACTCAAACTGCACTAGCAGCAACAACTTCTCAGACCAGGATGCACAGGGATTTTCCTGAGACTTGTGCTACAAATGACTCCGACAAATATTCCATAGTTAGATTTTATAACTGCGTTCTCATACAAAAATATCCCTCTCCACAGGTTTGAGTCAAGTTGCAGACCACTAAAACTACAACCTACAGCAGCGTCTCAGTAACAATCATCCACATCTCCAGAGTCAGAGATCCCCATTACGGATATTGCTAATTGTTCTCTAACCCAGCTCACTTGCTTATCTCTATGCTATGAAGGGTGGAGGTTTTGCTATATTATTTTTTATAATAATCATGAGTAATGAAGCAAATTAAATGTAGAAGCATATTTATAAAGAGATCTGCTTTTTAAGTGAAGTAAAAAAAAAAAAATCCTAACTTAAAATGCAATACATCCAAAACAGTAAGTTACATCCAAACAGTAACTTACAACGTATCATTTAGGTTGATGGCAGCTCCTACTGAACAGCAAGACTACAGAGTGCTTTATGACCCACAGTACACAGTCACCATCAGGCAAGGATAGGGGATTTCAAGCAACAACTATGGGGATCATATTAATGCTGCAATATGCCAAGAGTTAAACAGCTACAAAGATCAATAACTACTAAGGCAATAGTTCAGATCTTGCAATTTACTCAGTGCAACTTAGATCTAAGAGAATGTATAAAAGACCATGCAACAGCGTAAGAGGAGAGGGAAACATCACACTGAAAATGAAAAAATGCAAGGAACCCAAACTTCTGCATCTTGTTTTCTTAGTACATGGCCAATGTATGATTAAAATAAGCTAGAAATCCCTAGCCAAAATGCAGGAGAAACAACAAAATGCAAATTTCAACACAGATTTATGAAGAAATTAGAATGTGGCTGGCAGTCAATTCACACACAATGCAAGAACTGCTGCATACTGTAGTTTCCCTATAAGCATCTCTTTCTTCTAAGCAGGATCTGAAATGTCTTGTTCAGAGCTGGATGTTAGTGTATTAACCCATTTCACCACCCTACCCCTCCCAGGGTATAGATATCTCACTAATGGAACTAATCCTACAGAGCTAGTCATATTTTTCCCTGAGATGTGATGTTCACAAGGGGCCCTAGTTGGTTGGTGAAAAAAAAAAAAAGCCATTTATTCATGTCAGGAATCACAGGTGAGAGAGGACTCCCTGTATGATCACGAAGTGCTACCTGAACCTAAGCTACGTGGGAAGTGAAAATGTCTACCACGCTGACCTGCTCTCACCGTTTTCTGTGCTGCTCACACTGTCTTTTTCACAATCTTGTCTTATACTTAGATTCGCAAAAAGAAAAGGAGTACTTGTGGCACCTTAGAGACTAACCAATTTATTTGAGCATAAGCTTTCGTGAGCTACAGCTCACTTCATCGGATGCATACTGTGGAAAGTGTAGAAGATCTTTTTATACACACAAAGCATGAAAAAATACCTCCCCCCACCCCACTCTCCTGCTGGTAATAGCTTATCTAAAGTGATCACTCTCCTTACAATGTGTATGATAATCAAGTTGGGCCATTTCCATATAAGCTATTACCAGCAGGAGAGTGGGGTGGGGGGAGGTATTTTTTCCATGCTTTGTGTGTATAAAAAGATCTTCTACACTTTCCACAGTATGCATCCGATGAAGTGAGCTGTAGCTCACGAAAGCTTATGCTCAAATAAATTGGTTAGTCTCTAAGGTGCCACAAGTACTCCTTTTCTTTTTGCGAATACAGACTAACACGGCTGCTACTCTGAAACCTGTCATTATACTTAGATTGTAAACTTTTTGGGGCAGGGACTGTCTTTTTGTTCTGTTTTTGAACAGCACCTAGCACAACAGGGCCCAGGTCTATAACTAAGACTCCTAAGAAATACCACAATAATAATATACAATTTGATATTATTATATATATGTTTTTCGTACACCATTCTCCTGCCACATAAAGCCACCTTGTATGATCAGGAATTGGCATGGTTCCTTGTCATTACCAACCTGTCTGCTAGTTTAATTATTCAGATATGATGCTCTGTGCAAAGGATTCTAACATTAAGAGAGTAAATCTACAAACCAAATTCAAGGAAAGCATAGGGTCTGGTAGCCAAGCTTATGCTCATAGAGTCATATGAAGCAGAAAATTTCCACTGAAGCTCCTCCAGGAAACAAAATGCCATGACGGTTGGGCAACTGCTGGTGCAGATCCCCATGCAGGTGATGTCCCCAGAAGAATGAAAACTGAAAAGAAAACATCCATTTTAAATCACAGTTAAGAGGTAGAAGAGTTATGCTGGACATCAGCATTAGACTGTACGGTCTCAAAAATATTTTTATCTTGGCTGCATTAGTTGGGAAAGAGTACTGAAAAAAACATCTGGTTTTCATCCCAGTTGTAGTTCTATTTATAGAAAACATACCAATCTCTGTATACAGCAGCTATTTCTTCATATCCTTTATCCCCATTACCTGTTTATGGTCTCTTCTCTACAAAGGGTACTAGATCTAAAGCTATCACCTTCAGCTGACAATGCTGAAGATTAAACATAACATGAAACTCATGCCTTGTAACACTGGATTTGAAGGAAAACCAACTAAAACTCTAATCTTTCCTTTCTCAATTCATGCATTCAATCTAAGTTCATAGCCCCACTCCCCCGCTCCATGCCACAAAAATAATTATACACATACATACAATCACTTATAGCTCAGGTCTCCAGTAACCAGCCCTTACAATCTCTAACCAGGAATGCAGTCTCAGATGTGAGCTCTGATCACTTAAGAAATAAAATCCAATCAATTTAGAGTATACAAAATTAAACAATGCATTAATATTCCCTTTTGCAAATATCTAGAGCGTGAGATTTATATTTTTCTTACAAATTAAAGCTATGCTTTTTCTAGAAATGGAAGCAGATGTTAAGTCTATAGGTTTTAGAGAATAAGCCGCTGTGCACTAAACGAGAAAGGATTTTCCTGTAAAACTGGTTCCTCAATTTCTTGTCCATAATTTTTAAGACCCAACAATCTACAATTTAAGTTTTGTGAGACAACATTTCTTGCGCCTGGCAGGGGAATTTGTTGTTGTTCTTCGGGTCTTATTAAACTGGTAGATATCTAATTGCAGCCAGTGTGTGTCATGGCATATTTATCTGGAGGGGTTATGGGATCCTATTGCAAGGAGTCTCCCCAGTTCTTCTCTCACAAGTAGGATTTTCAGACATGGTTAAGGAAGTTGTGCGAGACTCCCACTGAAAATCCATTGTTGTAAGTCTGAGCCAAATGGCCCTGTTCACGGAGTGATTTCTGATCCTAGGAAGCACCCACGTTCATGCATAAAACAACTGGCACTATTTTAAAGAAGTGAATTTTCATCATATCACTCTTGCTGTGTTAGGTAGGAATTGCAAGGCTGTGGTACAAATCAAAATACTGGATAATCACAGGTCCCATCCAGGAATGTTGGTAGCAATTTAAAATTCAGACACATGGAGTGAAAAAAGGAACTTTGTAATATGTAGTCAAGCCTAGGATCCTTGAAGTATTATTTCTCAGACATGGGCATTCACCAGTCTGGATGGCTCACATGGGTCAGACACAATGAAGGGGGTTTTCCTGTCCTCTGAGTTCTGTCCTGTATCGAGACCAAGCAACCACCAGATGCTAACTTTCATTCATGAATGACCTGGACCGGTTCTTAAGCCTAAGAAAAAAGTAGCTTCCCGTGATTCAATAGGAAGGGAATTTTGATTATCAACAGGCCTGAATAGTCTTGCAGATCAAGCTAAGTGGAATGAGAAAAAAAAAGCTGAAGAGCCTATTAAAACCATTTAAAAAATCTAATTTAAAGAGTATACTCTAGTAGGATTATTTTTATTATAAATATTATATTTGTCTTGACAAGATTACCTTTTTAAATGTACAATTTAAAGGTAATACAACTGACATGACTGCGAATGAGGAACTTGAGAGGGAGAAAACTCATCTAGACGTTACAGTGGTGGCTGTTTTAGAAATGCTTAAAACAGAAGGAGTTTCATTCCCATAAAGAAGCGGGAACACCAACATGAAGGAGGGGGAGTAGAGAAGAGATGCAGGTTGGAAGCAAAATGATAGCAGGAGGAAATTAGTACTAAAGTCTATATAACAACATGACAATGCAAACACTCATTTTCACATAATACTGAAAGTTCATGTTATATCTGTAGCACATGTTCAAGTTGCAGTTATATTATAGGATGAAAAAAAACCCAATAAATATGATAGCCAACCCTTGAAGTTAAATTAATCCCAGCAGGATAAACAATTCTGTGAAATTAAGACCAAATAAACGTGGTAGCTTACTGTATGCTGAAGCCACGTCCTGTTGCTGTGCCTCGATCAGGATACTGTGCCAGAATTAAGGATAATGCCTTTAGTCTCTTCCTGCATTCCAGAAAGTCCTGGTTGAGATGAAAATCCGTGGAGGCTGAAAGTGGAAGTCCGTCCCTCACTCTCACCACACAAGCAAAGAGGATCATGGACATCCTCCACAAGAGTATTCATGAGGACAACCTGGAAATAAATGTATTAAATTAAGATTGCATCCATTTACATAATAAGCTACTATGCAAGGATATATTGTGTTAAAGCACAGATTTAACTCTTTCATTGCTGCTTCTCAACAATACTTCTTGTATTGCCATCATCTTTTAAGGATGATCAAGAAATGTGAGGTTTTTTTGCTTTTTTAAATTAGAACTGTCCCTTTTTCTGCTTCTTGCTGATGTATAATGACGACCAGAAAATGTTCTCTCCCTGAAAGAATTCACCAATTTCTTCCCGATAGCATTTTACTTTAGAAATATCAGAAACACTGGAAGAGATTTTGAAAGACAAAAATAGCACTTGGACATTAACTCACATTGATTAGTTGTCATTTCTATTAGTCCTCCTGTCAGTCATCAAACGGTTCATCTACATCCCAAACGATGGTGTGTTTGCAGTGCAGCTAGACATAACCATGCTAGCTTTAATCTAGCTGGTGCAAGTAACAGTAGTAGCGAGGACACGGTGCTTCGAGCTTCAGCACAGGCTAGCCAACTCAGTACCAGCCCGCCAGGGATTCTAAGTACATACTTGGGTTACTATCCCTGGCCAGGGTCCATGCTGCCACATCTTCGCTGCTATTACTCACACAAGCTAACTTAAATAACACCTCAATCTGTACTGCAGACATATTCTTACTGTCACAGACAAGTCCTAAATTCCTAATGTAAAAAACAAACAGGAAATAATTTTTTTGTCCAAAAACTTTCAAGACTTTTTTTTATATATTATATAAAAATCAAAAGAGAGGACAACCCTAATTCTTCTTGTGGAAAGGGATCTGGGGATCATAGTGGACCACAACCTAAATATGAGTCAACACTGTAACACTGTTGCAAAAAAAGCAAACATCATTCTGGGATGTATTAGCAGGAGTATTGTAACCAAGACACGAGAAGTAATTCTTCTACTCTACTCCACACTGATTAGGCCTAAACTGGAGTAGTGTGCAGTTCTGGGTGCCACATTTCAGGAAAGATGCGGACAAATTGGAGAAAGTCCAGAGAAGAGCAACAAAAATAATGAAAGGTCTAGAAAACATGACCTATGAGGGAAGATTGAAAAAATTGGGTTTGTTTAGTCTGGAGAAGAGAAGAGTGAGAGGAGACATGGTAACAGTTTTCAAGTACATAAAAGGTCGTTACAAGTAGGTGGAAGGAAAAACTGTTCTTCTTAACCTCTGAGGATAGGACAAGAAGCAATGGGCTTAAATTGCAGCAAGGGTGGTTTAGGTTGGACATTAGGGAAAACTTCCTGTCAGGGTGGTTAAGCACTGGAATTAATTGTCTAGGGAGGTTCTGGAAACTCCATCATTGGGAATTTTTAAGAGCAGGTTAGACAAGCACCTGTCAGGGATGATCTAGACAATACTTAGTCCTGCCATGAGTGCAGGGGACTGGACTAGATGACCTTTCGAGGTCCCTTCCAGTTCTATTATTCTTCCTTAGCAGGCCACTTAATATCCATTGGAAGCCAATTAAGTGTCAAGTGCTACCTGGTACATTCAAGAAGAACAGCAGATATGTCCCTCAAAAATGTACCATGAGAGTTCAGCAGCAAAATGCTAGAAGACTAAGGCACCAACTTACACATCATCTCAGAAATAGAGAACTCAATGGATCATGTGAAAAAGCTTGTCAGTGAGCTGATCAGCATACTTCAATATTCTAGGAGGTATGCTTGCCTAGTAAAATTAGTTTGCTTCAGGACAAACGCTTTGTACAATAGAATCACAGGACTGGAAGGGACCCTGAGAGGTCATGTTTTCCAGACCTGCAAACATTTTAGTTACTCTTCTCTGGACTTTCTCCAATTTGTTGACATCTTTCCTGAAATGCGGCGCCCAGAAGTGGACACAACATTCCAGTTGAGGCCTAATCAATGCAGAGTAGAGCGGAAGAATAACTTCTTTTGTCTTGCTTCCAACATTCCTGCTAATACATCCCAGAGCGTACCACTGTTGCAAAGAAAAAGAAAAGAAAAAGAAACATTGTTCACTCATATTTAGCTTGTGATCCTGTCATAAATAAAGGGAAGGGTAAACCCCTTTGAAATCCCTCCTGGCCAGGGGAAAGCTCCTCTCACCTGTAAAGGGTTAAGAAGCTAAAGGTAACCTCGCTGGCACCTGACCAAAATGACCAATGAGGAGACAAGATACTTTCAAAAGCTGGGAGGAGGGAGAGAAACAAAGGGTCTGTGGGTCTGTCTGTATGCTGGTTTCTGCTGGGGATAGACCAGGAATGGAGTCTTAGAACTTTTAGTAAGTAATCTAGCTAGGTATGTGTTAGATTATGATTTCTTTAAATGGCTGAGAAAAGAATTGTGCTGAATAGAATAACTATTTCTGTCTGTGTATCTTTTTTGTAACTTAAGGTTTTGCCTAGAGGGGTTCTCTATATTTTTTGAATCTAATTACCCTGTAAGATATCTATCATCCTGATTTTACAAGGGGGATTTCTTTATTTCTATTTACTTCTATTTTTATTAGAAGTCTTCTTGTAAGAAAACTGAATGCTTTTTTCATTGTTCTCAGATCCAAGGGTTTGGGTCTGTGATCACCTATGCAAATTGGTGAGGCTTTTTATCCAACAGTTCCCAGGAAAGGGGGGGTGCAAGTGTTGGGAGGATTGTTCATTGTTCTTAAGATCCAAGGGTCTGAGTCTGTAGTCACCTAGGCAAATTGGTGAGGCTTTTTACCAAACCTTGTCCAGGAAGTGGGGTGCAAGGTTTTGGGAAGTATTTTGGGGGGAAAGACGCGTCCAAACAGCTCTTCCCCAGTAACCAGTATTAGTTTGGTGGTGGTAGCGGCCAATCCAAGGACAACGGGTGGAATATTTTGTACCTTGGGGAAGTTTTGACCTAAGCTGGTAAAGATAAGCTTAGGAGGTTTTTCATGCAGGTCCCCACATCTGTACCCTAGAGTTCAGAGTGGGGGAGGAACCTTGACAGATCCACTATGATGCCCAGATCCCTTTCTGCAGTACTCCTTCTAGTCAATGGATATTAGTGTTCCCAGACATAAAGGATCATCTAGTGTGAAATCAGAATTGTATATATGATGTAAAGTACATCTAATGCCCAAATTGTATTTAAACTTTGTTTTACAGTAGGAAAAAAAAAAGACAAAATTCAGAGAACTTAAAAAGGTATTTTCTCCATCCAATTCATATTAAAAAAATTACTCAGCATCGTAGGCAAAAGCAGTTAATGTGGAGAGGGTAATAAACTCTCATAGTCAGAATTACACTGTATAACTATGGGGTTTGGCATGCGAACTGGCCACAATATCAAAAAACAGTAAGCAACCCAATTACACATAATTCAACTTTTTTTGTTGTTATGAAACTAGACAACCAGAGGGAGCAAATCCTCCATTCTTAGAATACTGCTGGCGTTTGTGATATGATTATATGTATCAGAACTATGAAGTTATGATGTTACCTAATTAAAATATAACCATGCAAACCACTGTTGCTACCACTGCTATAGAATTGCAGCAAACCTTATAACTCATGACCAGAAAGTATTAAACAGCTTGCAAGCTGAATGACGCAAAGCCGACCTTTAAAGACGTTAGAAATGTTAATTAGGGCCACTGCATGCTAAATAGGCTAGAACTTTGAAATGCAAACCTATGTTGTTAGAAGTTGGAGGTAATATTGTGTGTATCTTAGATGCAACCCGTGTAATCTGGACAGTTCCTGTCTGTCACTATAACTATTGATTCAGAGATCAAAATGGAATATTAACATTTAGATGAATCTTTGGTAAAATAATGTCATTGTCTATACGTCTCTTTAAAGTTTGTGACAGACTGCCTAATGGATAAATTGCCGTATGTTAATTTTAGGTTTCAGAGTAGCAGCCGTGTGTCTGTATTCGCAAAAAGAAAAGGAGTCTCTAAGGTGCCAGAAGTACTAACAGATTTATTTGAGCATAAGCTTTCGTAAGCTACTGCTCACTTCATCAGGTGCATTCAGTGGAAAATACAGTGAGGAGATTTCTATACACAGAGACCATGAAACAATGGGTGTTACCATACACACTGTAACGAGAGTGATCACTTAAGATGAGATATTACCAGCAGGAGAGTGGGGGAGGGGGAGGGAACATTTTGTAGTGATAATTAAGGTGGGCCATTTCCAGCAGTTGACAAGAACGTCTGGGGGGGGGGGGGGGATAAACATGGGGAAATAGTTTCATCCAGACTACACCACACGATCCATTGTCTACAGCCAAGCTCTACGATACAACCACATTTGCTCCAACCCCTCAGACAGAGAAACTCCTACAAGACCTCTATCAAGCATTCTTACAATACCCACCTGCTGAAGTGAAGAAACAGATTGACAGAGCCAGAAGAGTACCCAGAAGTCACCTACTACAGGACAGGCCCAACAAAGAAAATAACAGAACGCCACTAGCCATCACCTTCAGCCCTCAACTAAAACCTCTCCAACGCATCATCAAGGATCTACAACCTATCCTAAAGGACGACCCATTGCTCTCACAGATCTTGGGAGACAGGCCAGTCCTTGCTTACAGACAGCCCCCCAACCTGAAACAAATACTCACCAGCAACCACACAACAGAACCACTAACCCAGGAACCTATCCTTGCAATAAAGCCCGTAGCCAACTGTGCCCACATATCTATTCAGGGGACACCGTCATAGGGCCTAATCACATCAGCCACACTATCCGATGAAGTGAGCTATAGCTCACGAAAGCTTATGCTCAAATAAATTGGTTAGTCTCTAAGGTGCCACAAGTACTCCTTTTCTTTTTGCGAATACAGACCAACACGGCTGTTACTCTGAAACCTATCAGAGGCTTGTTCACCTGCACATCTACCAATGTGATATATGCCATCATGTGCCAGCAATGCCCCTCTGCCATGTACATTGGTCAAACTGGACAGTCTCTACGTAAAAGAATAAATGGACACAAATCAGACGTCAAGAATTA